AACCAACTGAGCCACCAGATCAAGGCATTAAGTGTGCAAGCGCTATATGCCCTGGAGGCAACATTGTATATAAAGTTTAAATCGTGTTCAAAGTGTACATTGTGTATAAAGTTTACATTGTGTTTAAAGGCAAAGGTTGAAAACTAGTAAATACTTATCAGTCAGGAACTGTTTAAACAAGAATTCCTGTACATCCAATGTTATGGAATACTATGGAACCGTAAACAAACAAATAAACAAAGAAGTTCTTTGTCTACAGTCCTAAGATGGGATGATGTCAAGATACAAAGAAAAAGGGGCGCCTGGGTGGCTCAGTCAGTTAAACGTCTGACTCTTGATTTTGGCTTAGATCATGATCTTGAGGACATGAGATCGAGCCCCACGTTGGGGGATTAAGATTCTCTCCCTCTCTCCCCTAAACAAATGCAAGGGAAAAGAAACCATAAATATACACAAAACCACGATACAGAATGGTGTGGGTAGTGTGTGAACTGTGGTGGGAAAAAGTGAAAATATATTTATGCACATTTCTGCTTGGACGTGCAAATTCTGGAAGGATACACAGGGACTCTTGGTGACTGCAGTAGGAGAGAGAGATCTTTCGGTGCAAACCCTTTGTACCTCTTGAGCTTCTGAACTATGAATTCATTACTTCTTAAGAAAAAAATCAATACATTTCAAATTAAAGAAAGAAGCTGAACTAATTGGATGTCCATGGGCAAAGAACCTCACACTATACCTCATCCCATATACTAGAATTATCTTAAAATCGATGATAGATTTAAGTTTAAAATCTAAGATCATAAAACTTCTACAGGGAAACACAAAGGATGTTTTTACGACCTGGGGTTAAGCAAAGATTTCTTAGCTATGATATCAAAATCTGACCCATTAAAGAACACATTGACAAATTGAATTCCATCAAAATTAGATTTCTTCTTTGAGAAGACACTGGAGAGGTAAGTCACAGATGGAGAGAAAGTATTTGCAAAAGGCAAATCTGATAAAGGGTTTGTACTCAGATTATATAAAGAATCTCGGGGTGCTTGGCTGACTCAGTTGGAAGAGCATCTGACTCTTTTTTTTTTTTTTAAAGATTTTATTTATTTACTTGAGAGAGAGAATGAGACAGAGAGAGAGAGCACGAGATGGGGGAGGGT